GAGGGTACGTGTGGTAGAAGGCAATAAAAACAGGTGCTCTTCGAAGACGGGGCAATCTAAGCATGTAGAAAGTAAGAAGAGAAAAAAGATAGTCTGAGGCACTCTGTTTTAGTGAAAAAATTAAAAGTCCTTTAATGAATTGGACTGCCTACGTGTTTCGACCAACAGCGGTCTTCGTCAGGGCATAAATAATCACCAGCAGGTGAGCCTCTTTTAAAAGCAAGGCTGTCACATGACAAGAAGAACATCTGACAGAAAATTTGACAGAAAATTTTTATGAAACAAAAATCACCAGTGTGACTAGATCATAGTGAAAAAACTATGTGTAAATACATGGAGCTATACATTCAAACACATACGCACAAAGCGCCACAGGAAAAGAAGAGCGAGCGAACATATAGATGAAGGCACCAACTGTAAAACACTGATATAACAAGAGCAGTGAAATGCCAGTTTATATTTTCATCAGTATACATTTTCAAACCGGATCACAAAACCACTGTCCATAACACATTATTCCAAACAACTACAAAAAACTACAAAAATGGGGTAAAGTCTAGTTCCTCATTTAGTCCAGGGTGATGCATAGCTCCAAGCGTATCTATCCAGTATGTCTCCCTCTGGAGCAGTTTTTTTAGTTTATCTCCTCCCCTGAGGTCCATTTTGATTGTCTCTATGACCATGATTTTGAGTCCATTGATGTTGGTATGGCCCATTGTTTTAAAATGTTTGGCCAGAAGAATAGAAGTACTTTAGTATTCTTCATTAATCTTGTGTTGTGTGCTCTTCATTCCTACTGTTCTGTAACTTGTTATACACTACTGACATTTCCCCACTGTGGGATGCATAAAGGATCTCTCAATCTTAATCAGACCAACTTGTGTAAGCAGAGTCCAGTGAAGCCAACAGGCGTGTCCACTCGCTGTAAGACAGTGTGGTATTCTTCACGCGGCCCAATAGTGATCCCTGTTTGGTTTACATTCAGTGCTTTTTCTGTCTGTGTAAAATCATGTCTATCCACAAAGCTTGAAATACCCAATGCTCTGCTGTTTGCAGGTAGAGAGTAAGTGAATTATAAGTCCATGTCAGTGTCTTTTACAAAGTGAGTTGCTCCAGCCCTGGCTTATGAGCAGGACGTAGACTGCTTTAAAGGCTCGGCACAGCTCGGGTTATGATCGTGAAGACACACACACAACCTACTGTATGTACCTAGCATTGAGTGACTCTGAAATTGGATGACATTTTGAGTGAATGTCTAATAGTTTCCAGTGTAGTGGGATGGATTTTTACAAAATTTCCATGTATGTTTTGGATTTTTTACATTTTCCTGTACTTTCTTGAGTGTAACACGAACCTGTCCAGGGACTACTCGGGTGGAAATTAGCATCTCATACTATAACCTGATACATTGCATCTTTTCTGTTATAGACTAATGTCAGCATTGTCCCTGATATAAAAAAAACAAACAGAAAAAACGATAAATAAACACATAGATAAACACATAGAGAATTCCTAACTAATGATAGTAAGAATAATGCATCAGTCTGGCACTGTTTGGACACTCAATCAAAGACACTTTACATGGCCTTTGTCATTCACTCCATACACGGGCAGCTATGACGCAGCAAGAAGGTCCTGGGTTCGAATACCGGTCGGAATAGGGTCTTTCTGAGTGGAGTTTGCATGTTCTCCCAGGTGTCTGCGTAGATTTCTTCCAAGTGCTACGGTGTCCCCTACTACTAAAAACATATACAATAGATATGAATGCATTGAGAGAGTGAATGGATCAATAACTGAACTCTGAACAATGTAAAGCGCTTTGGGTGACCTTCATCTGTAAAAATGCGCTATAAATGAAGATTACTGGCTTACTTACTGGAGTGGACTGCCAAAAACAAGAATGCAGACACAAACTCTGCCTTGCCCAAATCAACCGGCAACACATAATTGGAAAAGCATGCATGCAGAAAGTTTATTGGTCCTGAAAGATATGACTGGTCATTTATAATGGTTGTAAAATAATTTGGTAACATACAGTATTTAAACGAACGTCGCTCAGGCCTCGAACACACTTGAACATTATCGGTCTGTTTGATGCCCACTCGCACTAGTTGGAATATTTGAACGCAGGCTTGTCTGTGTAGGAGTGTACTTTTGCCACTGTGGTTGTTATTCTGGTGTGAGGCAGCGAGACGGCCGAGATGTACTTGAGAAGGCGAGTTTGTCTGCAGTGTGCGAGCGGGAAAAAACGTTTGTGTGTCCTAAACTACAAACAAAGGAAGAATACCGTCAGGGAAAAAAAGAGTGCAAGAAAAGCATCCAATCCACAAGGGGAGCTGACAGGTTGACAGGTCTGCTGAGAGAGCCGAAACAAACCAATAGAGACAGTAAAGCATTACACAAAAGGCATAAAGAGGAATTGATAAAAAATAAACAGAAAGCACAGATGGTTTACTCAAAAGCACTAACTAACACTTTGAAGCAACTAAAGCAGAACTCATTATTCTAACAGTATGGAGGATTCAGTGATTTACCACTTGGATGTTTTGGTAAGCGGAAGGCCGAAACTACTGGCACTGTAGCAGCCGCTGATTGGAGCGTCTACGATTTCTCCTTTAAAAATCACATGCAAGCTGTAAAATCCTTGTTCGTGTCTTGTCTCTACCATCGATAATAAAACATGTCTTCTATCTGCGACACAATTCCAGAGCGACCCGCATCTTGTCTCAGTTTCGACAATTTTATCAACAGTCAGTGATGAAATATTGTAATGAAGTCAATCTTCGTGGTTCACTTTATGACAAAAACACAGGGACATTCCACATGTTTTTATTTTGGCAGAAAACTGGCCTCGTCTTCTGGCTTTTCCGGATGCCTCTGTCATGCTGGTTATTTGGAACAATAACAGTCAATAAAAGGCCATACCATTGATAATGAAATTTTAAACAGGTCAAAGAACATTGATAACGTTATGAAAATATGAGGTGTTGGTGAGAAATTTGCCGGCAGAACAGGATCAAAGTCCATTGTAGCCCTCAAGGCGCCAGAAGTTTTTTTTATACAGATATTTCATGTCAAAATAGACAAAAGCGGAGCCCTGAAACTGTTTAAGAATCAGAGGTCTGCAAAAATCAATATCAGAAATACATAAAAAAAGAATATGTGAGAAAAAAAATGGTTTAGAAAGAGTCCTGGAGGCAGTGGCTCAGAGTAAATCTCTCACTTTGGAACCTAAAGGTTTGGGTATGGACCATTTTCATACCAAGGACATCATTACATTACATTGCATTTGTAAAAGGCATTTCGTTGCTTACTTTTTGGCTGGTACCTTACTGGGACTGTGTTTTGTCTGTGCTGCATTCCATTGCCACCCTATGTCAACAATGAGGAGTGACCTTCAAAACCTCTGAAATGGTAAATGTTCAAAGGGGAAAAATGACAATCGCGGATGAAAAGCGCTTTGGAAGAATGAATCAGCACTCGGTGAATGGTTTGAATGTGGATCTTTTTATTGGACAGGTTTTATAGAGTGAGGAATAGTGTGTGGCGAGCAGGTGACGAGTAATAGCGTGAGTCTCAAAGCAGATAAACACAATATTATAGTTTAGATTGTGAATCATCCGTGAAAGGTGATGTCAGATGAACTTAAACAATGGAAATGTTTCTTTGCCGTCATTGGACTATAGAGACTAGAATAAATCATTTCAGAGATTAGAATGAGTAATGAGTCCTGGCCTTATTCAGACCAATTTAGAAAAACCCATAGTCAGCACCACTAATGTGCTAGGGGGCTGCGTGATCTAAAAATAGTTCTTTGAGTTGGACATTTGGGATTTCTGTTTGTCACATAGCTCAAATGCCTGGCTTTAGGAATGACAGCTATTTCTAAGACGCATCGCAAAAAGTATTGAATCCAAGCCGTTCACATCAATGAAGTGTACTGAGAGCGCTCTGAGACTCACAAACTTGTCAAAAGTTGAAGTACAATTTCGGTCCTGGACGTTTCTGCCAATAGTTTTGATGGATTCTTTGGCTGTGCAAGTTTTTAAAGAGGATGGGGCACACTAGAGACAGTTGCTTGTTTTTTCTTTTGGAGTCTGGGAAACTGTCAATAGACGTGAACAAGTGCAGAGTTTAAAGAGCAGAATGGGTAGAAGGAGCTTTGGAGGGCCAGAGAGTGAATGCCAGCTATTGTAGGAATGCCGTAGCAACACAGCTATGGGGCAAGTGTGGGACAGGAGGGGGGGGGGACTTGGATGGGGGTCAGTGAGTTTTGGATGCTTGTTTTACGAGGGCTGAGGCTTGTCACTGGTCCTTGCACTACTGAAGTCAGCCAGGCTCTTAAATCCTGGACTTTTAAGTTGTAAAGATTGTGAAAAAGATTGTGAATGTACAGCATCTTCACGCTTCAATTATAGGATTGCTTACTCTGGTTTACTCTCTTGATCAAATTTCTCATGGGTTAAAATGGGTGAAAATAGCACAGGTGTCACATAGGTGAAAACCAAGAACGCACAGCTCAGAATGTATAATTGGCTAGACAGATAAAGAATATAGATAATGACAGTAAGAGTACAGACTGTGCTTCAGGAAGATCGTTCAAGGTTTTAGGTGCCATGTTTAGTTCTGACTCTGGGTCCCTGTGCTCCTCAGAGCCCCAGCAGGAGGCCAGTCCTAGTCCTCCTCAAATTCCCAGCAGGAGGCTAATCCCAGTGCTTCTGATAGTTGGTTCATGTCACAGATGTACATTGGTGTGAGGCCAAGGACAGACTTGTTCAAAACCATCTATTGTTGCTGCTTTTAAAACTAATTCTAGATCATAACCTTTAACACAACCTCCACTTGCATTTACCCCACTCTATATTCTTTTCCTGGGTGTTTTGGGAGATTATTTTAAGATTACACTACAGATTACTTGCTTGTTGAAGAAACCACAAAATGTTGACATGTTATTCCATTATGAACAAAAAAATAACGCGATTATTTTGTGTGTCTTTCAGGAACCTGCTGGCATTTTTGAGCTGGTCGAGGTGGTGGGAAATGGCACCTATGGACAAGTGTATAAGGTTTGTCACATACAAATATATCTCTTGGTTGAGTTTTTTCCATTTTACTGATGCCCTCAAATGTCCCTATTTATGCATTGCTCAACGATCGGAAGTTGCAAGCAATGACATCCTGTTAAACGTCTTTAAATATAGTTCATAGTAAGTCCAGCGGTACCGTATGTTGGCCAATATAATGTCATAACTTCACTTTCACCCCCTTCACATTTCCTGCTGTTGTGAAAAGCAGAAGCTGTACAAATGCATTAGATTTGTGGTAGTTCTCAACTTCTCTCATTAATGTCGAGTCCTTTTTCCCCTTGTGGTTGTTTTTGCACAAGACTCGGCATTTGCATTCCCCTCTCATCTCAGCGGGGGGCCATCTGCAGCACCCATAGGAGCCACTTTATGCAATGCTTGTGGGGAAGTGTTGCAGGAAGCTGTTGTTGTGAGCGGGTGACATTGTGGCTTTAGTGCGCTGTGTCTCTGGCTCTCAGCTGTTTCCTGATGCCATGTTAAAACTGTATCTCTCTATTGCAATGTACCATTTCAACTCCCCCTGTGAGAAATAATGATCTGATACTCAGCAGGATGTGGCATCGTAGAGCAAAACATTCAGCACCGCGAGAGACGGTGGTTTGTTTGTTTGAGGTGGGTTCAGAGGACCGATACACAGATTTGAAACCCTGGTTTGAATACATGCTCATGGAAATATGGCACTACTGTATGTGTAATGTTAAATGTTAAAAATATTAGATTCTTGTAGAAACCGGCTGGTAATGCTACATAAACAGAATGCAGTGTTACCTGAACGTATAAACAATAATGAGATTAATGAGAAGCATGAGAAGTGTTACAATTCACATACAGTATATGACACAGTATAAGTTGTAGTATTAGATTGATAAAAGCTGGCAGGATTGTAAAATGTATTCTAGTTTAGTTGATGAGATACCGATACCGACCAAGATTAAGAAAATTCATACTTGGTAGTAAATAATTTCAGTTATTTAAATGAGTCAGAAATATCTTTATGGCATTTTTACAGTCTGAATATGGAATAGTTTAATTTTACTAATATATAACATTTGTTCTGTAATTACCCCCAATTTACACCAAGCGATGTGAGTAGCGTGGGAAATATGTTTGAAAGCGTTCAATTTACACCAGAAGCACTCCTTCTACTCTAGATGTTCTTACTCTCTCTACGCTACTTTGTTTCTAGGAAATGTGACGTTTACAAATACAATATAAATGTCAGCCTCCCATTACAACAAAAAACATATCTTGGATGATGCTGTAAAATGGGGTAACCTGGATGTAGTTGGAGGTCTGGGCGGCTCAGACTGTGACAGCAATTGATCAAGTGGAAGAAAAGATAACATAAGAGAACCTTTATTTGTTCCACAGTGGGGAAATTTCAATGTTGCAGTGCACATACAAGACAGTAATAAAAAGCACACAAAATGTACAAAAAAAGTAGCTGCTATGTTTCTTAGCTAGCAGTAAATGTTTCAATATCAATATAATCGTAACAAATCTCTATCTATATATAGAGCAAACTTATATACTGTACATATAGGGCAGGATAAAGATAAAGTGACATTCAGTGGACATTCTGAAATTGCAGTATTGCACACTGCACATGATTACAGTAATGGACGGATGAATGGATCATTTCTACCTATTTCCTTTCATTTTATTTGTATGGTGACACAGGTGATTAAACAGACTCTAGTCCATCACTAACCACTCTCCATTTTCACCCAAGTGTGCGTGTGTTTAATGGACCCACAAGTCAAGGTTAACCCATGTTGTAGAAGAGGCACCGGCTGCTGATTGGATGAGACGAGGGGTCAGGCAGAGGTGGGATGTGGTTCTAGAGGCTTGTGGAAATAATCTGACAGCGCGGGCGTGTTAGGGACAACGAGGCAAAAACACAAAGCGATTGGAAACTGGATCGCTTGTATGTGTATCCGGTTATTGCTGACTTGGCCGTCTTTTCCAGCCAAAGTCACGGCTCATTTGCTGGCTGACATTCAGACGCGCTGCTCCTTTGCGTTACACCGAGCTCCACACATGGCCCCTGGCAACAGCCCCGGCCAGCTGATCGTTCTCATTCAATGTAGAGTGATACATGAAGGATATACAGTAAAAGACATATGTTTTGCTTCATACTTGTCCGGTTAGAGTTAGCCATTGTCAAAGCACTTTCCCTTCTTCACGTTGCTGCTGATCTCTGTGTGGACAGTGACACACATTTCATGCCAGATTCTCTTCTTCAACTTTCATTTGGTCTGATTAATAATTGACGAGTGATTTAATGGTGAAATGTTTAATATTGTTGCTGCTATGTTCTTTTTTTGTAAACTATTAGTTCTCAATCTTGTCATAATTCATTCAATTAGTGAAGGCTTCTATCCATGCATGGTAAACGTACACAGGACTCCATGATTGATGATTGATGATTGATGATTGATGATTGTATGGACATCAGCAATACATTTCTGTAGAAATGTTACGCTGCAGGGGCTAGAGGATCTGACTACAAGATGGTAAGCATGGTGTGTATCAGAAGTTGGACCGACAGGGAGCCACGGTGTGTGAATAACGACGAACCAAATTTAGTTTGAATAAAATTCTTGTAATCCAGGTACATAGGTATTGTAATCCAAAGGGTATTGCTGAAAATGGAAAAGATAGTTTCTACCACAATGATGCGGGGGTAGGGTGGTTATGGTCGGCACTAGATCATACATGAAATCGTGACAAAGCGGAAGTAACAATCCTACTTTTGAATTAGTTAAAGTTTTAGGTGTCTGAGTAAGATGGTTAAGGTTAGGGGTAAGGGTGGGCCCCATTCCGTATATGATCTAGTGCTGACCGGGTGGTGATGGGTTCAGGTGTGGTTCAGGTAGTTTAGGTATGGTACGTGAGTTAGCTCGCCATCCACTGGTGATCAGAGTTAGTGCAGGATACAAAAAAAATACCTGAAAGCCAGGAAAACAATTACAAATTTCCATTTTAAATACACTAGATATTCATTAGCTAATAAAACATAAAAAGTATCATAATGTAACATGCAAGATTTTCAAAACATCATAAAATTCTTTAACAAACACAATTCACTTCAACAATACAAACAATAAAGTTATGACATATTATTCAATTATCAAGGAAAAGGGTTGTTTTTACAGGTAAGGTTTCAAAGAACTAATTCAAAAGGCTACTGTCACTTGGGCGAATGGTGCAAAAAGTGCAATAAAAAGTGGGTCTAAACGGCCACATTCCAGACTGCACTATAGATAAACTTCCATATCTGTATTCACCATACCATAAGGGGAAATGTAATCCCAACCAAATCACCAGTTCAAAGTGCTTTAAAATGTTTCATTTGAGATACAGGCTCTCACATCTTCTCCTCAATAGATGCTGGGATAGTCTCATACATAAAGATAAAAAGGGAAAAAAAAGTCCATCTGTTTAATATTCCCTGTGCGGCTGAGGTCCCTGTCTGAGCCTAGAGGATCAACATCTTGTGCAGGTGGAACTCTGTAACGCGCTCCCATGATAAATTGACCTTCAAGTCTCTGGATATTAGCAAACGGGAATTATTTTAGCTTCTTTGTCACTGTCTAGGTCAGTGGTTCCCAACATATTCTTTTGTCTCACACTTTGACTCAAACTTACTTTACGATACTGCTCAGGTATTCGCTGCAAAATGTTAATTTAATATAATAGATAATAGATAAATGATGAAAAATGAATACCTTAAGACACTATTCAATTGCACTCATTTCATTCCTTTTACTGTAACTGCATACACCCACAGATTCCCACACCCCTGTCTGAGAAACACAGAAAAAATGATATCGTGCTAAATTCTGTTCATTGGGTTTTTGTTGGCAAGACACTTAACCCCACTTTGCCCAAAAGCCCCCACTGAAAGATCAAGGCTATGCTCACAGTCAGAGAGCAGCCGTCCTCCTGTGGACTCACCACCTGCAGAGGGTCAGTGACGGGCTGGTGCTATGAGACTTGGGTGGCATCTCTGACTGCCACCCCCCTGACCCAGAAATGGATTAAAGGGTAGAAAATGGATGGCTGGATGGATGGGTTTTTGTTGAATATGAGTTGGGATTTTGACCTGAGATAAGTATATTTATTACTGAAAGGACTTAAATAGAGAAATTGATATCCTCTGGGGTCTATACACTGGTAGAGAGATTTCCCCACTGTTAAGGAGGTGAAGGGGAGGAGGTGAGTTGCGGCACGAGCTGAAGCTTGTGAGCCCTGTTTTAATGCAGCCAGTATAGTCTGAAGCTGATGAACATTAGTGGGATAATTCAAGAGAAGCAGGTGGAACAGTAATCATGAGAGGTATTTCTAGTTTTCCTGTCTGAACCTTTGCTTTATCTCCATATTTTCTTTTGTCAGTTGAAAACTTTGATTGAAACAACTACCTGCACTTTCACATTTACCGCTAGCTTTACCGTGAGTGTCCAATCCAACCGATCCTTCTGTTAATTGCCAACCCCCTGCATAATGAGCTCCTGCTGTCCATTTAGTAGTTGCAAACTTTCCTTATTGCCACAAACACCAACTCAGATTTATATCTAACCGTAAAGGCAATCGCTGTCGGGGTTAAGTGCGCTTTCTAACAGCCTATAACAGTATACTTCCTGTTGAATAAATTGTGGAACAAGTTTAATCAGACGGCATTAAACAAACAGGAAAGTGCAGTGAATGGGAACGATGCAGCTGCTTTTCTATTTTTTTTTTTTTACAGTCACAGCGGGTGAGCGAGCGGAGGCCCATACGGTCTCTACTCCCTCAGCTCCTGTCACCCCCTCTCTTTCTCTCTCCTCTCGTTCCTCCTGTGTGTTTGTCTGCCAATGGTTAATATTTTAAGAGACGAGCGGAGCACTTTGCCTCAGGAGGAGCAGGAGTGGATGTGTCCTGTCGTTAAGCGGGAGGAAAAGATTGGTTGCAGAGCTTTCTTCCCTCCTCTTGCTTGGAGA